CGCCAAAGCGGAAATCAGTCGACCCATAATAATCCGAACCCACATCAAAATGTTAACCCAGCACCAACTTCACAGTACCAGAGTCAACAATCACAGTACCAACAACAGAATGGAACCCAATCCTATGCCCAAGCAGTAAGAGCAGGAAATCAAGTAGCTGACATAGGGTCTCAAATGAACTTATTCTTAAACGAATTTAAAGCAATGTTCACCCAACTAATGAATCAAAACAGCATGATCCTTACCACGCTAACAACATTAATTAACAAAATTCGTTAGATCTGTTCGAATCGCCGAGTGGAACGCAAATGGTTTAGCAAACCATAAAGCAGAAGTAATCCAATTCCTAAAGGACAACAAAATAGACATCCTTCTTGTATCTGAAACGCATTTCACAGAAAGAAGCGTCATTAAAATACCTCAATACTCAGTCTACCACACTAGTCACCCAGATGGAACAGCCCATGGAGGATCCGCAATAATTATAAGGAACAATATACAACACCATCAAATGCCGGAACATAAAACAAATGAGATTCAAGCAACAATACTTAATATAAATGCCAGGCCTTGGGACTTCGAAATTGCTGCAATATATAGTCCTCCTAGATATAGAATCACAACTGAAGAATACGAAGAACTATTCAATAAGCTAGGTAACAAATTCATTGTTGGAGGTGATTGGAATGCTAAGCATACGAATTGGGGCTCACGACTCATTACACCAAAAGGCAGAAGCCTATTAGATGCCATCAACAACACAAACTGCACCTACTTATCGACGGGACAACCAACATACTGGCCATCCGACATAAATAGACTACCAGATCTACTAGACTTCTTCATCCTAAAAGGAATTGCAGCAAACTACACAGACATAGAAGCAAATTGGGATCTCTCGTCTGACCATACACCAATCATAGCAACACTCAGCACCCACATAATGAAACGACCTGAAATACCCAAGTTAACGTCCCCTAAAACTAACTGGTGTGAATTCAAGTACCAGCTTGACATGAATCTAAGTCTTGGAATCAGACTAAAAGAAAAAGATGACATAGATAAAGCTATAAACTATCTCACCTGTCAAATTCAACAAGCTGCATATCGAGCTACACCATCAACTCCAAAGCAAGAAAACACAAATACCACTCCGAATTATATCAGACAACTAATAGTCGAAAAACGAAGAGCAAGAGGTAGATGGCAAAGAAGCCGCAATATTAATGACAAACACGAATATAATCGACTAACCAGACAATTAAGAACAGCGCTAAATGATGCACGCAATGCCACATTTGAGCACTACATTAGTACCTTGTCTAAAGAAGATCACTCAATATGGAAGGCAACAAAACACTTAAAGAGACCTACAGAACACAACCCACCAATTAAGAAAGATGACGGTACTTGGGGAAGATCAGACCAGGAAAAAGCGTTAACATTTGCAGAATACTTAGCTGGTATTTTTAAAGAACACCAAGCAGATAATGATAACGATGGAAACTTAATAAGAGAATTCCTGGATAGTGCTTGCCCTATGACGCCCCCAATAACACCATTCAGTCCATCAGAAGTGAAACTAGAAATAGAAAAATGCAATAACCACAAAGCACCTGGATTTGACCTAATAACAGGATTAATACTGAAAAATCTTCCGAGAAGAGCATTGGTCATGTTAACTACAATATACAATAGTGCACTCAGACTGACATATTTCCCAATCACATGGAAATTTGCGCAAATAATAATGATTCACAAACCAGGCAAACCTCCAAATAAAACATCATCCTATCGACCAATCAGCCTGTTGCCGACAATGTCTAAAATCTTCGAAAGACTACTACTTGATAGACTGAAGAAGGACATTAACCTAGACGCAGAAATACCCACACACCAGTTTGGTTTTAGAGAGAGACATTCCACAACACAACAGACTCATAGAATTATAACAAAAATCCTTACTGCTATTGAGGAAAAAAAATATTGTACAGCGGCATTCTTAGATGTAGAAAAGGCGTTTGATAGAGTATGGCACACTGGACTCTTATACAAACTCAAAAGCATTCTTCCAACTCCCTACTACCTAATTATGAAATCCTACATTGAAGATCGTTACTTCCAAGTAAAATATAACACAGCAACTTCCACATATTTTCCCATTAAATCAGGCGTACCACAGGGTAGCGTCCTGGGTCCTCTCATTTACCTATTATTTACCGCAGATATCCCAACCACTGAAACAACCCAAATTTCAACGTTCGCTGATGACACCACCATAATCGCTGTCAACGAGGACCCCATTATCGCGTCTGCACAACTGCAAAACCACCTTAACCAATTGGGAACATGGCTCAACAAATGGAAGGTGAAAGTAAATGAAACGAAGTCATCCCAAGTTACATTTACAAACCGAAGGGATGTATGTCCAACAATCACATTAAACGATACACAATTACCAGTCAGCACACAAGTTAAATATTTGGGACTAACCCTTGACAAAAGATTAACATGGAAGCCACACATTCAAGCCAAGAAAACCCAGATCAACATCAAAATACGACAAATGAGCTGGCTTATGGGTCGAAAATCAAAACTCAATACTGAAAATAAACTGCTCCTGTATAAATCTATGATAAAACCAATTTGGACCTATGGCGTTCAACTCTGGGGTTGCTCAAAGCCATCAAATATCAAGATAATACAAAGAGTCCAATCAAAAATATTGAGAATAATATTCAACGCGCCCTGGTATGTAAGCAATAAAACCCTACACGAGGACTCAGCTACACCTTTGGTAGAGGAAGAAATTCAAAGGATCACAAAGAGCTACCTTGATGGTCTGAGAAGTCATCCAAATGATGAAGCAAGACTGCTAAACGCTCCTCCCGAATTCGCAAGACGACTGAAGAAACAATGGCCAACAGATTTAATAAATTAAATATATTATGATCTAATGTAAAAAATATAATAGGAGAGTTGCCACAGGGCAGCTTCTCCCTCATGTATTTAACATTCAAACTATTTACTTATAGCTTCGATGAAGCAGATTGTAAATTAAATTATGCTAAAAAAAAAAAGTATTTAACTCTACTTGTGACAAAAATTCGCCCACTGTATAAATATGTAAATGACAAAATTGTCAACAGTGCTTACTGTGTTAAGAAGTAGTGCGCTTAAGACTCTAATATCAAAAAAGACTCCCCGAAAAATCAGACACCCCGCCTACATACCACAGCGAATTTAGACGGGGAAGAAGCAACATCTCTCTTTGCAGAAGCTATCAAAAGAATCCGTCAAGAATTTACTCCTCATAAAGTTATACTGTGCTCTCCAAATCGGTCAAAGATTTGTCCCGCTTTTGGTATAGTTAATTATAATACAGTGCCCTTCTTGTATAAATTAGAAATGTTTGAAGTTTTCGCATAGTTCTCGTGGTAGCCTTAACCACATATGATTGCCACATCTACACATCTATAAATAATAAATCTTCGTAATAGTGACCCAGATGGACAATAACGCACATAGACATTTTAAAAGACTTATTAACTAGTAAGTACTATTTAGTAGAAGGAATTTAGTTTTTTATGACATTTGTACTGATTGTATTTATTCAATTTTTTGTACTTCCATCTCTTTCTTTCTCTTTAATAAATCGTTTTGTACCTTCGGATAGCTTTTTGAACCGTTAGTATTCAAGACATTTTTATATTACAGGTAAGAGCTCCCAAATTTGTATGGAGCAATCTATGTTATACACTCTCTCTTTCATTTAGGACATTCTTCATGTTTTTCCTACTGTGTAGATACTAATTTTATCTACAAATGGAGATAGGGATTTTTGAGTTTAAGGCATTTTGTATCGCATCACAAATAACATTAAAATCAAGAGAAAATTTTGGGGACCTAGACTCAATTTTGTTTTTAATGGACTCTAGTTCCTTAATAATATCAGTGGATGAGGCATTTTTCGTTCAATTGTATGTTTAGGTTTTGCAAAAGGAGTTGTGGTTGTTGTCGTTTCTTGTATATCAGGTGAAGTAGATATCTGTCTTTTGGTTGAGTGGAGGGGTACTTCGGTATTCAATGGAGGACAATTTATTTCTTTGTTCTTTTCTGTGGACAAAGTGTGTTTTTCTAATGATAGTTGATCAGATACTATGTTTTCAGCGTTAGAAATTTGAACGTTAGTGTGGTGACTATGCATTAGCGGAGGTTGTTGTAAAGGTGGAGTTACATTCTCGGGTTGATATTAATTATTTATGTTGAGGGTTGTTTGTTGACATGTTGATAAACAATCGTGTTTCCGATCTTTATAGAGAACAACCGCGTTCCCGTGTTCCTCTAATGGAACATTTTTCGGTTGCACTAAATTTGCCACAGCAATAATGTATTCATGAATTTTTACGTCATTGATACTAGAGAGAACAACAGCTTGATCTTTTGTTGGGTGTTTGAAAGAGGTAAGGGCACTGGAATATGTATTTGGTTGGTTAGTATGGTGAGAAGCCCAATCATTTTCATCAGGATTGTCATCCATTTTTGAATTTATTTTTCATACTTCACCAACTTCTATCCTCTAAACGGTCCTGTCTCGAAAACCAGAAGGTTAAAAAACAAGTGGTTCTTATCGGTACTCTTGATATCAGCTTTTGCGGTTACAGTATTAATCGGTAGTTAATAATTTAGGAAGATGCTACTCACAGTTATGATTTATAGCAAAACTGAATAGACTAACTATACTGGTTTCACTGATAAACTTTAGAAATAGATATTTGATTAAATTTTTCATAAAAATATATTAATTGAGGACGTGATTTAGTAGCTGTATTTCAATACTAAATATCCAAAAATAATCCTTTTAGAAAAACTTTATTATGTACAAAGAGAGTTCTAAACATTTTTCAACTCAACAAAAAAGACTAAACGAGTACCTGCTGACTAGGGTACGAAAGTTGGTCTATACTTTGTGATCTTTTGTCTATATAAAAATATCTTACCTGCATTTAATTCGGTAGAAGCTGTAACAAGAAGAGATGTCAATTGAATACTGCTGGATCCCAAAATACCAATAAGCAAATAAAAGAACGCCTTTACTGCCAAAGTTTCGGTTGGAGACAAATTTGGCTGGGTAAGTTTGACAAAATTATCCACCCTATCTAGCAAATCTTCGGAGTCTAACGGAAGGGGATGGTTTAAAAGAACTTCATTGATTTTCTAAAAAAAGAATTTATCTCTCTTATTTTATTAATTTAAAAAATTGACATTGTTAATGTTTTCAGTAGAACATGGTCTATAAAACAGTCAGTAACGTATCTATAACTGTAACGTGAGCAAAATAACGTACTACAATTTTAATATAGTACAATGTAATGCAATGAAACACTTTTTTGACTTTTAAAAAATAAATTTATTTCAAAAATACAATTTTCAAAGTTACGTGTTACAATACTGAATTTAAAACTTAAATATAATGAACTATAAAAATTTAATGAACGAAAATAAAGAGCGACAAATTGTTTGATAAGATTGGTAACTGCTGACTCAGTGGGAACGTGTAAAAACCTTGAGTCCCGCTGACTCTGCTGATACTGCACTTGCAGGGATCCTTATCGGCTCTGGTAGTTGAAATCTGATACCGTGGGAATCGTCGTTATAAGTAACATTGATTGGTACAATGCATGTACATCAACTTACATTTTAGATGTAAGTTGATGCGTGACAGTAACTTTTAGACTGTCTGTTGGTATTCAGTTGGATCTGCTCTTCTTCATCTATGGAGTCGCTTAGGTGGACACTGGGTCTTCATCTTGGAAGAATCTTCCTCCAATTCCTTTTTTTTGCTTGCTCACGGTAGTGGAAAGACTTTTTGGAAGACACGCTACCAGCTGAAACCATCACCGCTATATTCTCCAGAGAACGCCAAATGGAACCATCCTGTGGGGATATAACATTTCTTTGGTGCTTCCAAGACTTATTCGCTCACCTCTTTGCAGGAATTTCCTCGCTTTATCAAACAATCTGCAAGGTATCACTAAGGTGTACCCTGACAGGTACATATTCAGAACTCTCGACTATAAAAGGAACACTCGACGCTCTGGAAAAAACCACGCAGGCTCGAAGTCCTTACAGTCTACAAAAACTCTGGGTATATCCCCAGATTTTACTGGGCAATACCCCTCTTTGGTTACATGTACACACGCGGACAGGACAACATATGTGTGTAAATGTAAAATAAAATATTGTATAATTGTGTCTTGGTGGAGAGGGCCGGTGGTCATAGTTATTGGTATTGCAAATTCCTAACTTGTATCTTCTCTTGGATCTGCCTTTACATATGACCTAAAGAACAACAAGAGTCACAATGATGACTATTGTTAAGATCGTAAACCAGCTCAGATGTTTATTGAAGAATGGTTCATTGATTAGTTTGTCGAGTTCTTCAGAATACTGATTGAGTTTGTGATGGGCTATCTCGAGATCTTCAGTATTGATCTTGCTCAGCTTCAATGGTTTTAAATCGCGAAGATGGATCTTATCTGGATAGTGTTTGCAGCAGTTGAATGGTATTTGGACTGGGTGTAATTGTCGTGGACGTCGATCAATTAATGAGAGTGTACTCTTGTACTATCTAGATATTGTATTATTGTATTTTTATTGTATTATTGTATTGTATTGTATATTGTAGTTTGAGTACATGGTTGGAGTTGATGATCTCCGATTAGACGTCTCTGGACTCGAATTTGATGGTAATACGCAGTGGGTCAAAAACTGTTATTACCCAAAGACCCTGTTAAGACATAAACCCGGTTCAACACTTCGGAGATTTGGGCACCTCTTTGTGTGTCTTTATATTGTTTTATATTTTTTCTTTTTAAATAAACACATTTTCACGATGTGACGATGTATGGCTAAAATGTAGTCAATATTATAATATTTCTTCTTTTGTGTCCTCATTCCTATGGAGAATTCAACCACTTAAACGATTTTTTAATACTTTTGGCCTTTTAAAAAGTTTATGTCAATATTTCTGAGGTGCTTTTCCTGGGTCGACAGTTTTTAAGTCAAGTTTATTTGATTACATGTAATTGACGATGTATTATATATATATATATATATATATATATATATTATATATATATATATATATATATATATATATTGAAAAAGTAGTATTTTATTATTTTTATTTTTTTTTATATAATAAATGTAATTTTTAAAATATGTGGTTCGTTGTTTATTTTAATATATACCTCAGCTAGCTCAATTATGTGTTCTAAGCAATCTGTCACTGTGTGACGTCGACTCTGTAGTCTCCTGGTAGAGTTCAAAAAGAAATTAAACCAAAATTTACTTTAGACTTTTGATAAATTAACCCAAATGAAGCACGTTATTTATTAATATTGAACAAATTTAATATAAACAATAAAATTCGTCTGCAACTTGGGTTGCCTTTAAAAATTTACAAAAATAGGAATCGTGTAAATCTTAATGTGGTTTAGTGTCGTGACAATAAAAATTTATTACAAAATGTGGAGACTCTCTACAAGTACCTAAAAACTAAATAAATATTGCAACTTTATAAAGTGTTTAAATGAACTATAAAGAAAAAGAAACTGAACACTTTATTCCGCTGACTTTAAACTTGCATTCAAATATAATCAAAATTTCAAATGATCCCCAAAATTATTATCCAACCTCACTTTAAAACAGTTCTGATTTCTTTAAAGAAAACTAACTACTCGCAAAATAATCGGTGAAACTGGAATATCAATCCTCTCTTCGGAAGTTAAGGTACGTACTATTCTATTTTTAATTTAATGATCATTATTATTTTCAATTTTTAAAGCCTATCGCAATTATGTTAATTCATGAATTTTAATTTTCTCAATTTAAATGACATTTCTGTACTCCAATATAATGTATAAGTCAAATTGTTTCTCTTACTCTCTGGAACAAATTCTGGATATCTCTGCTGTGGAAACTGTGGAAAAACTAAATTCTAATTAGACGAGTTAAAAAACACTCCCGACCTATTCCACAGTTTCAGGGCTCCCTTCGTCCAAAAATCCTCGTCGGCGTCCTCCAAAAAAACCAATTATTATCCGTTGCTAACAGCAACCAACGTTCTTTTTCTTTTCGTCTTCTATTTTTTTAAACCATAAAACTGTCCTGTTTGACATATTTGTCAATCCACATTACTTTCTCATAATCACTTTAATCACATCTAATTTGGGAATTTATAAAAAAAAATGTTCAGATATAAAACTTATTCTATTACAATGCTAATACAATTTATTCTTTTCATCTCCACATCATTGTAATTTCTTATTTAACAAAACCCCTATTAATTTAGCTCCCACAGACTTGCTTGACAGTTTATTTTCTGACGTTTTTTAAAATTTCTATGTTTAAATATTTTTTTAAGAATTCTTCTTTTTTGTTCTTTTTAAGGTTTAGACGATTCACCTATACACTAGGCAACTATACTATTCAGAAATTATTAACACTATACCAGGTAAGTCAAAATTAATTTATTTAACAATTTACTAATCTTTTTCTCTCTTTTATTTCAGAGTCGAACCCACATTGTGATGGCTTCATGAAATTCATGAACAACAAACTCATATAAAAATCCATTTAAGTTGTATATTTTTTAACATATTGAAATCATTTCAATATATATATATATATATATATATATATATATATATATATATATATATATATATATATAGAAGGGTCAGGGGAAAAACCAGGTAAGTCAATTTTTTTCAATATTGAGTTATCGGCTGTATTCGGTACACAGTGAACATATGTATCTTTCAAAAGTCCGAAACTTGGAAAAATACAAGTAACTCACAAGATATACAGAGCCAAAGTTTTGATATAAGGGGAAAAAAGCAGGTAAGTCAAGTGAAACGGGAAAAGAACCAGGCAAGTCAACAAATTCACTCGACTCTGCCGTCGCGCGATGGCCACGTTATCGATATCTGCGAACGCATCAGTCATCAGTGCATTGCTACAGTTTGTAACGGTCGCATCGAGATTAGTTTGTAAATAATAATATTATCGCTATGTCCAGCTCGGATGAAGGTATTAAGTTATATAGTGAGCCAAAAAAAAAGAGGAAGAAAACCGGTCGGATGTCTGAGGTAAATAAAAAGTTAAGACTTGCGACACATGAAGCTGGTCCTGCTTGCCATTGTAAAAGATATAAATGTTATGATGTAACTTCTGAATACAATAGAAAAAGATATTGAGTTACTTTAATCAACTACCGTCTCATAATGAGCAAAACATGTACTTGACTGGATTAATCACCGTGATACCTGTGGCACAGAGAAGACCTCGACATTGTGAAGAGGAGGCAAAGTTACGAGAAGCTAGTTTTGCCTACAGAGTTCGAATAACTGAAGACAACGGAGAAGTGGTAGATATTGGTATATGTGCAAAAGCGTTTTGCTCATTTCATGGAATCAGTAAAAATAAACTCAGCTATCTACAGCAAAGTTTGAAATCGACAGGATCTGCACCTATGGATAAAAGGGGTAAGCATTCCAAGAAACACAGACAGCTCAATGAGGTCACTGCTGCTTTAATTGATAGTCATATTAAGAGTTTCAAAGGTCGCCAGAGTCACTATAGTCTTAAGGACTCAACCAAAACTTACTTACCAGAAAGTCTTAACATAAGGAAAATGTACAACCTTTTTAAAGAATTACATCCTGCTGCAGTTGTATCCTACGACACTTACAGGGTAATTTTTAACACAAAATTCAATATTTCTTTTGGATATCCGCGTTCGGATACTTGTGCAGTGTGTGATGAATATACAGCAAAGGTTAAAGCTTTGTCTGTGGAAAAAGATGCACAGCAGATTCATCAGCTAACAGTAATGAATACTCTTCATAAAAAACGCGCAGAGACTTTTTATAACCTCAAAAAGAAATCAAAAATTGGAGCAAGACAAAATAAGAAAAAAGAAGCCATATGCGTAGATTTTGCCAAAAATGTCTCCTTGCCGAATATAGCGACCAACGACGTTTATTACAAACGACAGCTTGCTATGTATTCTTTTAATGTTCATGTTCTGTCAACTGGTGAATCCTTTTTTTACGTGTATCATGAAGCTATTGCTAAAAAAGGACCGAATGAAGTGGCTTCATTTCTATTTCACTTCATTATGAATTATTTGGACGATGAAGTAGAAGAAT